TTATTTCTTTCGTTATCTTCATTCACTTCCTTTTATTCTCTCTCAAGCTCATGACTTGAAATCTTTACCTTCTATATTAGAGTGACTGCCAAATTTATATCTCTACATAAACCTTTATCTCTACCTTGATTCAAGATGTTGGTTCAAGAAACTGGCTTTTTGATGTCTTTACTTGGATGTCTAAGGGTCACTTCAAATTAAACATGTCCAAAACTAAATTTATTTTTGTACTCTGCTTCTCCCCAAACCCTTCTATGTTCTTCCTTTCCATCTTAATTAATGGCAAATCTATTCTTCTGGGTATTCAGATCAAAAATATAGTAATCTTCTTTGACTTCTCCTTTTCTTTCACAGCCCACAGCAAATTGATGAAGGAATGTGATCTTTAAAATATATGAAGAATCTATCACTTCCATGGTTACTACCCTGGTTTCAGCCTGGACCCTGACCAAGTCTTATCTGGAGCACTCTCCCCATTTCTCCATGCTCTCCTACAACCTACTCTCAATACATCTGCCAGAGTAACTTTTTTAAAATATCAAGTCAGATTATTCTGAATCTCGTTGTCTCTCTCTCTCTTTTCCCCCTTTCCAGATCTGCTACATTCCTAATTGTTCCTTAAATATCTTTCTCTAGATAATCACCTTATCTCCATCAGATCCTTGCTCGAATGAGGTGGTCCTCATTTTATTTTTAACTATTTTCACTCTCCATACCAGCACTCTTAGTCTTTCATACTCTGTTTCAATTTCTCACCCTCTCACACCTTTTTAATTTAGTTTTTAATGTGTTCATCATTTACAAACTGTCTCTACACACTAGGTTACAAGCTTCACACAAGCAGGCAAGGTTTTTGTCTTCTTTTATTTACTCTACACCTAGAGCGATAGCCAGCACAGAGTAAGTACTCAGTAAATATTTGTCAAATGAATAAGTAAATGAGTGAGAAATGTATAAGCAAGAAGTAAGAACATTCTGGAATATAATCCCCTTTTAAACTCTTAAATACCTTGACAGTACTAGGAGTCATTGTTACACACATTAAATTAGGAAAAAATCAGTCCCTATGTTAGACAACCAAACAAACCAAAAATTTGTGGAAAAGGCTCTTGAAAGAATTCAATATTATCTCAGGTAAAGACTATGAACCAGAGCATGTAAAAGTAAAACACTTTTGAAAATCACGAACAAAATGCTCAAAGAGTAAATGATTGTACCAGAGTCATCTACAAAGATTTTAATCTTCTGCACAATACAAATTGGGGTAAATAAAAAAGCAAGTTAAGTCTCACAAGTGGAGGAATGAAAATGAGTTCTATATCCTTCTTAGGAGAGCCATGCAAATAATAATAAAAGTGCTGGAGAAACACAAGACTACACAACTCTAGAGAATCCATGAGCCAGACAATGTGTTTGTGAATCCTCTCTAGGCCCCTTGTTTCTCCTTCTCATGTTTACGGCCTAATATGTGACCACTTTCTTGTTTGTTAGCAACTCTCACAGGAGAGCAACCTAAAGAAACAGAGGGAAACTTAAGCAAATTAAAGCAACTCCTTAATAGCAGCCAGGAAGAATATGTGGGGATCTTAGTCTGGACAGTAAGAAGCATATGGTATTATTAGATTGGCACAAAAGTAATTGAGGTTTAAAGTATTCACTAAATGATTACTGAATATATTTTTGGAAATTGGCTGCTAACATTAGCTTGATTCAATTCACTTAAGGTGAGTGTTAAGTCTGTCTAAAATATGGTCAACGGATAGGATAAAAAGAACTCATGACATATTTGAATGCATAAAAGAAAGAAGGAAAAAAGAGAAAGAGGAAGGATGAATAGATACAAGTCTCTGCTATGGAAATCATCACAGAAGGTAATTTAACATAACAGAAATCTATCTAACGTAAAAGAGAATTAAGGTCAAACCTGCCTCTGCCACTAACTAGCAGTCAGTGGTAAGGTTGGAAAACCTAACTTTTCAGAGTCTACCTTCCTACTTGTAAAATAGAGATAAAAAATTTAAAATTTAAAAACAGAGAGTAATATACTTTTCTCCTAATGTTGTTATGATGATTAAATGGATACATTATGCAAAACACCTAATATATAAAACCATGTATCTGTTCTCCACAACCAAATTCCAGTGTCTATCATGTTATCTGCCTGTTTGTTCAAGTGTTGACAATCATCTCATTTATGAATTCATTTTTCTTTTCAATTTTGTAAGGATAAAACTCTGAAGAAATATCTAGAGGGTAATTAACATATGGCTAAAACTATCGTGGGAAATATTAAAAAACAGATTAAAAAGTACAATTGGGACCTGTTTTAAAATGAGAGGCAGCCTATTGATAAAAATGAGCTTTTTTCTTAAATTGCAGGAAAATATTGTACATGCTCTATTTAAAAATTATAGAACAACATCTCTTGGAGGAGGGATAAGATTCCTTTCCTTTTATACACACCAAAGTACAGAAAATGCTTTGCTCTTTGTAAAGTTGTTTGATTATAAGTTCTATGGGAAGAGCGTTCTTTGTTTCATTTATTACTGGCTGACTTGAATAGTATGTGGCTTGTAATTGGCAATTAGGAAATAGTTTTGCATGAATACAGTACGCACAGATTATAGAGTACTTGGCTCAGGGATGGGGGTCCATCTGTCTCTGCAGGTGATCCATACACACATAAAAGAATAAATAATAACAAGACAGGATTTGAATGGCATCTAGATAAAAGGCAAAGCAGCTATTCTCACAGTTCCTGAACCATCATTCATAAAGTCCTGGCAAAGCAACTATTCTCAAAGTTCCTAAACCATCATTTATATACTCCTGGCATTCTACTGAAAATATCACAGTCTATATGCAGTATATATTAGTATATATATAAACAGTTATAAAGTGACTAATAATTTCTTGACTCCCAAAAATATGGTATCTTGAAATAACCAAAATAGCCCCTTCATGGTAGAAAAATAATAAAAAAACAAAAAACAGGTAAAAGTTTGGAAAAATGATTTCTACTCCTCTACTTAACAGCTAAATTCTAAACCTTAGTTTTTGTTTATTTTAAAAATACTGTTTATATAATAAAATTATATTAAAAATTTTTTGTTATTTAGACTTTAGGATGATGTACAAACAGCTAATAAATGAGCACAATGTATTTAATAATAATAATAGGATATATTAAATTCCCAAGCCAAAATGATTTTTAGAATGCATAGTTAATAGTATGAATAAGCACAATATATTTAAGCTGTAAACCATACAGGCTCAAGTGGGCATTGATAGATGTTGTCCTCATTCTAATTATTAATTAGTTCAGAGTTTGTGAAGGTAAATAGCATTGCCTACACATCTCTTTGCCAACTCTCTTACTAAAGCAAATGAAACCAGCAATACAAAGAACAATGAAAAATAATTTTCTATTAAATCTTTTATCCTCTAAAGTTGTATGAGAAGAAAGGTCACTTTCTCACTCACTAGTTTACCTTTTGGTGCTCTTATCTTTTCCTTCATTATACATATTTTTATGTATTATGCTCTATTTATGCATTCTTCAATAGCATCTTTATTTATGACTTTGTGAATCAACATCTCTGTAATAGGAGGCGAAAGTCACTTAGCTAATTACACATGCTTGATAAGCTGCATAATAATAACTACTGCAGTATCGTACATTAGTTGAAGGTATGTAAATTACTGCAGTTATTTTCATTTGCAGAAAAAAAGACTTTTTTTAGTTGTTTAAAACACCCTTGTTGCCTCCATATCCCTCTTCTTAAGTATACTGTGCTTTTAACCCAATTCATAATATCAATAAAGAATGAAGGTTAAATCCCACTCTACCAGTATTACCCAGGAAATAAGAGCAAAGACAAAACAAACAAACAAAAAATCCTCAATGTAATGCAAATACTTCTGAACTGAGTTACGAATTTTGTTATTTATAAAGTGTCTTCCACATAAATGCAATCCCATTAAAACAGAACAGTTTAGACATTCCCTGCCCCACAAGGATGCTATAATGAAATCTGATTTGGTCCAGTCAGGAGATTAGAAGTGCATAGAGAGATAGAATGTGCAGCATTAGAATATTAATGACTTCTGTATGAAGATCGGAAATTCTACAAAGTTATGAATAAGGTCAAAATAACACTTAGATGATTTACTGCCATAGAAAATCATACTCTCCTATGAGTGATTTACTGAATGTTATATAAAAGCGGAGTGTGGACAAGCTACATTCAGATGCAAGCTTGCAGCTGTCAGTGTCTACATTTGCTCAATCTGGCTAGAGGATGATTTGAAGGTTGATTTAATTGTAGCTTCTGAATCATGCACTTCTCTATGTTTTAAATTGTTTAACGTAAATATAAAAATGTTAAAGTAATTTTAAGACTGTAAATATTTAGTATCAAATCTGCAAAATCTCATTCTCCTCTGGAAAAGTGACTGAAAATGAAAAGACTAAGAAAAAAGCACTATTACTTGATAAAAATAATTGCTCAATAATTATGGAAAATTTACCCTTAGGATGAGAGAGTCCATAGAGTGTTCAGAAGGAATGCTGAGAATAAACGAAAAACTAGATTTGTGATCGAGTGATCAAATTTTAAGAGGAGCACAAATATGTATCTGTAGAAAAGAGTTCAGAGATCAAAGATCAAAGTTACCAGTTAGTAAGACAGCATTGTTTGGGCTCCTTGCAGGTATCATAATAGCCTAAATAAATATTCCACTACACACAAACTCAAAGCAGAGATTCAACTCTTACTGATGCTACCAGCACCAGAACACAAGACACAACCAATGAACCAATGTAATCTACTCAGCTAGAGCGCTCCTTAACCACCTTTCTATTTTGACAAACTTCATCAGATTTCAAATATCACCTAACCATTTACTTCCCAGCATCAGCAAATCATCCTTAAGGAGAATATCTTGTTCTTCCTCTGCAAGCTTTTTCCCCCATTTTTAATTTCCACTTTTATACATACCTCCTTTTCTACATATTTTCTTGCCGGGCTTTCTGGCACATTCCTTGGATATTCTTTTTACTGAAAAATGAATAGAAGACTAGAAAATAACATGGCGCTCCATCACAGACCGCCGGAACATGCAACACCACTATCTAACTCAATACGCTCCTGCATTTACTGAGTGCGAAAGATCCCCAATTCGTTGAGCCTGCACATGCAATGAGGAAATGTTGATGCATCTTCTCAGAAGTCATTTGGTAGGAAATGGAAATTAGAAACCCATTTCTACCTAAATATACGTGCTGTGGAGGAAAGAAAATGAGTAAGCACAGGAAAAAAATAAGTACAGATACACTGACACACATAAACAAAAAGAGCACCATGCACGCATGTAAAATATGTCTACATGCCAACAGGAAAAGCCATGCATACTACCAGTACACATGAATTAATATTGTTAGAACTTAGAATAGAAAAAAATATAAAAATATATCTCCCTGTTTTTCCTGCAATAAACTCACCATCCTCAGTTGGGACATATATATTTAGATATAGGCAGTCTTCACTCTGGTCTTGTACATATGATGAAACCACATCCAAGTTATTAGTAAACCACACAGGAAGCATGACTTCTGGCAGTCTGCCATCAATGATATTCTGGGGACACACAGGAGCAAATTGAGTGGCATTTCTGATATCTGACCAGGGAGATGGTGGTTCTGGAGGCTGAAAACGACGTTCCCCTGTTGGTGGGGCTGCATATGGAACCCCAAGAAATTGAATAACAGGCCCCAAAATTTCATTATTGAGTTCCTTCTTAATCCCTCTTATCTTTCCAAAGTTGGTAGTCACCAGTGGGTCCACATCATCCAATTTTTGTGATAGCACATGACCAGCCTGAAGCAAACATCCCAACATACAGAGAGTCAATGGGGCACCCAGTCCCCTGTGTATCACGCATGCCATCACTGCTCTCCAAACATAATTTTGCCACGTGCATCTGGGCAGTGCCATGGTCCCACATTAGGTGTCTAGTTGTCTGGTTACAGTGAGGCAAACGTATTTATATCCACTTGAGAAAGACTGTATAATGGTAGAATATACCTCCGATTTCTTAAAGGGGAGCTTGTCGAGAAAAGCTCTGAAAAATCTTCAGACAGCAGGTATCTCCCATTGATTTCACATGTATTGGAGCAGCATCTTCAATCATCACTCTTTATCAGACCATATCCTATTCAACATTCTGTTTTCCATATTAGCAATGTGGCAAGAGTGGGCATTGACTGTAGTTTTCTCTCTTATAAATCAAATCCAGTTAGCTGCGGGTCTATATCCTAGAAAAAATGAAAATAAATCATGAGTTGGAACAAGCTAACATAGACAGTGTGATAACTAGATGTTTTACAATCTACAGAAATACATTAATAATGACTAGCATCAGGGAAGTTAAATGTTACCATAGGAAAATCATGGATTGAAGTGAGATGACAATTACAAGATTATTGAGAAATATGTCTGCTGGCGTCATATACATTTACGTGGAAGCAGGCCTTGTTAAAATACACAGTTTTAGAAACATGTTACAGTAAAGTATTTTAAAATACTGAATGTTAGGTGTGAAATTTATAGTTTATTAATAGTCTTCAATCACTTCAAGCTATAGAAGATTGATTTATTTCCATTTTAAAACCCAATAGCAGAAAATATTTTAAGAAACTGGCAGTAAACTAGCAGAACAGATACAAACTCTGTAAGAATGACTGTGTGCATTGGAAAACACACAAAAAGGTGGTTCCCAACCCTACGCTTATCAAAAAAAGGAAGATAATATCAGGACAAGAAAACTAATATGAGTTCAGCTATGATTATTCAGATGAAACTACCTCACCTCCTTGCTGTATCTCAAAGATCTTCATAAAATTTTGCTTATAAGTTTCCTATTTGAAATTAAGATTCAATAATTTAAAAGAGAAAATGGCATAGGATACAATTTGTAAAAAAGATAGAAGTTTACATCTTTTTTTGCAGACAAGTTATTTTACCATCTTGCTATATATTATAGATATCAATAAATTTGCAATGCAAAAATTAATTTATGAGTCAAAGTCAATATATTTTAATTACAATTTTTTTCCTCACTGTCCGTTAGAGATCAAAGGAAGATTACAAAAAGAGAGCGTAGTGATTAAAAAAAACAATCGTGCCTAATCATGGCATCTTGCATATTAACACTAATCAAACATCTATCACTGTTTACAAAGTTCAACTTAAAATGCATCAGAATAAAATGTAACATTCGGTGCAATGCAATCCTCGGAGTAATCTGACGTTAACTGTCAAATAACGTACAGCTCAAAAAATGTGTCTTTTCTTGTTCAAGCAACCTTTTGAAGTGTTTACTTTGAAAATAAAGTGCTGATTTGTACTAGAGATGGTTCTATCCTGTATATTACGGGAAGATTCCTAAAGAAGTGTTGGTCTGGCAGTGAGACTGCCTTGACTTTCTGTTGTTTAAAAGGAGATTGTAAAAACTATATAGGGCAGCAGGAGATTTGGTTCTGGCCTAGTGTGTCTTTATCTCTGAACAATCCATCACAGAAGGCTATAAGGAGATAAATGTCTTTCTTTGAAAATACTTTAGTCTGTGTTAATTCACATACCTTTGCTGTGAAAGCACATTAACATACAAAAGACAGGCTTAGACCAATCCAATTCCTGTTCCAGAACTCTGGCATTTATCGAAGATTCAGCTACACAAACGCATTTTTGTAAAGTGTATATCATGCTTATTCTTGTGCAGCATCATAGTGGGCCACAGCATGAACAAATCTTTGCAAGTTCCTTTTGGTGTTAAAAATGCACTAGTTTGACGCCTAACCTAGAGAACCTGTGGTGAGGTCTTAAAAGTCTCCATCATTATTTTTTATTCAACCTAATTTTCAATTACTCTACAGCAATTTCCAAAAGTTTTTCTTCGCACAACTGATATCAAATACTTGTTTTGTTATTAATAAAATAACACTCCTTTTTTGGTACTTAAGAATCCCTAACTGTGTTAAGGATAAAGAAGCTCCTGTTTCCCACTGATGTGTTGCTTTAATGCAAATTGCAGAGGATTGGAATTCTGCATGCCATGATGGATTTTCAAATTGGAATGATGTTTAGCTTCTGAGGTTACAAAAATACCCCCTTTTACATGTTGTATGTATAGTACTATAGTATTGACCCCCCATAATTTTCAGAAATTGCTACTATAATAACAGCAGTCATCCAGGTCAAATGTAAAAATATGGCTTATTTAAAGCACTAAAATTTAAAATATATATATACCTAAATAGAAAGTATCAAATTTGCTGACAATTTTCCCCCTGTTTATTGATGCTTCCTTAGTGTATACAAAATCCTCAATTTTCATGCATTTATGTCTCACTGACAACAACCCTATGAAGTAGATTCACAGTTATCACCTTCTTACTCATGAGGAACTCAGACTTGAAGAGGTGAATTTCACCTTGGCCAGGGTCTCTTAGCTAATTGTTAGCAAATCCAGGCACCCACTGCTATCTGATTTAAAGGTCATCCTTATGATCACCACACATGATAAGAGTCTCTCAATTCAAAATTATCACTTTTTAAGAAATTGATCCTAGTGTATTTAAAATTGAATTGTAAAACTATTTTATGTTTCTTCAGAAGATGAAGTCTCAGTAAATATTCTGACAATTTCACAGGACAGAGAAATAAAAAATGGTCTACCCTATTCTTATGGGAAGTTAATATTTCATTTTGCTATATATTTTTATACATATTTTACTAGCTTTACCCTATATTGAATGTGGTGATAGGTTTCTCTTATGTCATTACACAAAATCATGTTAAAACAATGATTTGTGTAATAATTTGGTTATTTATTCGGAACCAAAAAACCCCCAAACTATGACAACCTAATTGTCCAGCAATAGATATTGATAAATTAATTATGATGTATTCACAAATTCAAATTATATACATTAGTGAAAATAAAGGACCTAAACCCAAAATATCAACATATATAAATCTCAAAATTTTTGACAAAACATGTCACAGAAAATTAGGTACAGTAAATACTATTTAAATAAAACTTAAACTATGTAAAAGAATATTATATATTATTCTCAAATACATAAATACATAATAACAGGATAGCTGTCATCTCTAAGTAAAAAGGAAAAGGAAGAAGGCTTATTCTAGCAACTAATAAATTAATTGGGCCAATTATTTAATTGACATCTAAGACAGACAACCTGTGGTAAGACCCTAAAAGGCCAGCAATGAACTACAGCAAGTTTGACAAAACCTTAGTATTTGAATTCTCTGTATTCTTTTGTATGTTTAAAATATTTCAGAATACACTAAAATAATAAGGCCAGAAAACTCTTACTCAGTAGACCAAATCATGTATTACCCGTAGATTAGCCTATCAATCCACATGTGACTAACTTCGTCTGACTTCGAAGTTAATGGGGATACTAGCTCATAAATTTCCTCATTATTCCTCTTTTTGACTTAAAGCATGTATAGTCCCACTAAAAGAATAAAATCAAAATAAATAATATTTAAAAGAGCATCATAAATGGTAATACATTTTTCTCCCTTACATTAATTCATCAAAAGCTGGTCCCTCAACTAGTTTGTTTCTGAGAAACTCAGAAAAAGGAGTAGGGAGAACTGTATGGGATGTTAGATAATTATAGTGGGTGGCCACATTTATCCAATCTTTCATTCACTCAGCAAACATTAGATATTTACAATGTGTAAGCTATTGCACTGAATGTTAAGGAGAATTGAAAGACATGCACAGTCTACTCATTATTCCCAAGTAGCTTACGCCATTGTAAAGGAATAAGTAATCTAAAAAAATTACTCCAATGCTAGATGAAATGTGACATGTGTTCAATAAATACAAGATGAATATGGGAGCAGGACCTAGCAGGGAATATCAAACTTCTAACTTTATGTACATTTTACATATGTTTTTCTAAAAAAAAATAATAATAAACCTTTTTATTCCTACCTTGCTTTGTTTTATTGTTTGCATTTATTTGTTTTCTTGTTGAACTCAACTCCTACCTGTTAAATTTCTTACTTGGGGCAAGATTTTGCATGTGTGTTTTAAAAAAATCTTTATGTTCCTCATAAAATCTATATGAAAATTTGTTACATAGTGCAAGCGTGGTTAAATCTCAGTTGGTCTGGATTGACAGCATGCTTACTGTTAGAGCTCCCTGGCTTGATGGTGACCCTTAACCAATGTTATACAATGGTAGTTATGTTCTATAAAGTCATCATGAACACTAAATTAGGGAACACAGACCTTTTGCTTTTAAAGACATACACATGTATGTGTGTGTGTGTATATATATGTGTGTGTGTGTACACACATGTACATAGATATACCCACATATATAGATATCTAAATCTCACATAGATTATAGGTTAAAATCCTTAATGCTTGTAACTAGTAGATTCTGTTTTATGTTATGAAAGAAGAACTGAGGTTCTAAAGCATTAAGTGCCTGAGGCCGCCTCACTAACAGGTGCTAGAGTTGGGATTAAAATGCCCCCAAATTGGTCCCAAAGATGAAGCATCTTGCACTGCACTGCACAGCCTCTACCACTGCACAGTGTCCATCCTGTGTCCATAAAGCAGAAACAAGAAGGCAGAGAGATGCCTTGTTTGACTTCAGCTGGCAAGATGCTCATAGGGTGACTCAAAGTTTTGCTGCTTTGCTCATGTCTGTGGAATGACTGTAAATGTGCTGTAAGTGCTGATTTTAGGATTACAAATACATTTTAGTGAATAGACAAGTTTACAAATACAGAAACCAGGAATAATGAAGATCAACTGTACTAACTAAAGACAAATAATGTTTTGCACTTATAGATCTGTGAGTTGTTTGAAGTCAGGCCACACTAGCTTGTCAACTCTATATGCTAATAATAAACGGATATAAAAATGAACTTAGTAATACTAATATAACAAATAATGCAATTTAATAATATCTGGTTTCAGCAGAGTGTGGTAAAATTTGATAACCAAGGCTAGCCATATACCTGAAATATATCTACGTGATCAGTTCACTGTAAGAGAACCTGACCACTGACAGATATTGGGTTCCCTGTAGCAAAATGTTTCATATACACACTAGTGGTGGTTAAAGACCTGGAGACAAAAGGATATTCTTTGTGACCCAGGAGTGGGAGAAAAAAAAATCCAGAGTCTGAGATTGTTTTAAATTCATTTTAACGCATATCCTTCTTCTGCTGTTGCCATACTGTATTCTTTGCCTGTAAT